CAGAAATAAAGAGCAGTAAAAACGTATTTGAAATCATTCAATAGATGGTTTGAAATACACAGTAGTAGGTGACTTGGGGGCATAAAATTTTTAGGGGTTTTTCAGAATAAATATCAAGCAAGACAGACACGTGCTAATTCTACTGTTTTGGAACAGGCATAAAGAGCAATTTATTTGCCATCACAGAATCACACAAAAGCACAGAATAGTTGGGGTTGCCTCTGGAGATGACCCAGTCCAAGCCCCCTGCTCAGTGCAGAGTTGCTAAAGCAGGCCAGTCAGTGCTGAGTCAGATTTTGAGCAACTCCAAAGTTGGAGACTCCACAACCTCTCCAGGCAACCTGTTTCAGTGCTTGACCACACTCACTACTAGAAAGTTGAGGTTTTTTCGTTACATTTAAATATTTATGGGATTTGTGCCTATTGCCTCTTGTCCATTCCCTGGACAACACTTAGAAGAGTGTGATTCCAGCTTCTTTAATCCCCACCCACACCATTAGGTATTGATATATACACATTGATAAAATTCCCAAGCCTTCTCAGGTCCAGACTGAATAATTCCAGCTCCATCAGCCTTTCCTCACATGGCAAATGCTCCAAGCCCTCCGTCATACTGGAACTTCTCTGGTAAGTAAACCAGAACAGGGTAACTTGCCCAGAACTGGACACAGCATCTCAAATATGGCCTCACCAGCCTGAGCAGAGGGGAAGGATCCCCTCCCTTGATCTGCTGGCAGTGCTCTGCCCGATGGAGCCCAGGATGCTGTTGGCCTTTGCTGCAAGGGCATATTGCTGGCTTATGTTCCCCTTGTCCACCAGGAACCCCAGATCCTTCTCTGCTAAGCTGCTTTTCAATCAGACTCCAGCCTGTACTGGTGCTGGAAGTTATTCATCCCTTCCCCTGGTGCAGGACTTTGTACTTCCCTTTGTTGAACTCCCTGGGGTTCCTGTCAGCCCATTTCTCCAGCACACTGAGGACCCTCTGAATGGAGGCACAACCCTGTGGTGCACCAGCCAGTCCTCCCAGTGCAAACATGCCAAGGGTGCACCCTGTCTCATCATCCACATCTTTAATGAAGATGTTGAACAGGACCGGCCTCAATATTGATCTCCAGGGCACAGTGGCAGTCACTGCCCTCCAGCTGGACTCCGTGCTATTAATCACAACACTTTACATCTATTGGTTCAGTCAATTTCAATCCAACTCACTTTCCACTCACTGGTCCAGACTTGATCAGTTTGTCTATGAGGATGTCGTGAGAGAGATCATCAAAAGTCTTATTTATGTCAATATAAATCAGCTGCTGTCCCCTCAACCACCAAACCAGTTGTCTAATCAGAGGTTTACCAGCTTAGTCAGATGTGATTTCTCCATCATCTCAACTCTAGGATAATTGTTGGTAGCAATGTATTGATAACAAATTTATTATCTCAGTTTTACTATTTGGTCTGAAAAGAAAATTGAAGGTATTTTATTTTCAGATGTCTTTTCTAAGATGATCAGACTTTTACACAAGTATAGAAACAAGTTGTTTTTCTACAAGATTCTGGTTTTATCCAGCGTGCAGTTAGATGTGACTGCTGAATGAAAGTGAAAATGTTCATCGAACAATGACTCTAGAAGAAAGTGTTGAATACTTAATTTGATCGTTGTGCAATTGCCCATACTAATTCAGCTGCTCTCTGCAAGAAGAAAAAGAAACACAGGTGGAGAAACAGTATTTCATTGTCCCAAGGAATGGATGAGTAAGGGAGAGAGCTGATATCTGAGTAATCTACCTTTACTTTGTTATTTCCCACAATGAATAGTAAGCAGTACTTCCCAAGCAGGTAGACCAAGGTTTTCAAAAATCTGTAAACTCAAGAAACTGCTTCTCTCTCCAGCTGATTTTTTGGCCCAGTTTGCTCAGCCATCCTGTAAGTCTATATTTTACAGGTAAGATTTTGGGAAGGACTCTGAGGCTATGCACGAACATAGGCTGACAAGCTTGCTTATGTGTTTTAGCAGCCACATTTTAGCAAAGGACTAAGTTTTAACTGAGATTCTTTTAACTGCTTAATCATGATAAAAAGGTATTTTCAATAACCTTCTTTGAATGGAAAAATAAGAAATTTCTTTTGAAGCAGCAGAGAAATAACCCTCACTAAAAAAAGGAGATCAAAGCTCTCAAGTCCTTGAGCTGCACCACACCCATAGCTATGTCTGCTTAAGCTCAGGGATACGAATTAGATCAGAGCTACTCAATTGAATAATCAAGTTTTAGAGCAGACAGTCGTGAATAAGAATGAAGGAAACTGGATTTTTTTTTTTTTTTTTTTACTGCTAAAGTGAGTGCCAGAATAACTCACTGAGAAAGCGAAAGGATATTTCTACTGAGGAGGGAAACCTGGAAGTGCAATGGAGGTCATTATTACATTAAGAGCTTGGTTAGTTATTTAAGGGGCTGAGGCATTTAAAAAGTCCTTCAGCAATCAAAGTTTTTGCCTAATGAGAATATCCTGTCTTTACAGTTTCTTTCAGTTTGTCACTAGATGTCAGCCTGCACCTTCGGGTCCCTATTGTTCTATAACGACGTGCATCTCTCTACCTGCGTCCCACCAGCAGTCTGTATATGGGAGGAGACCAGTCATGAAAACCTCTTCAAGGACTCCCTAAGTATTGTTTTGTATCCTTCAGCCGTATTTATTTCAGTTCATGAAAAGGTGACTGTTACAAATGAAGACATGAACATGGAAACAGGTGCGGTTTTGAAGCATGTTGTGCTGTTACTTAGGAAGCCACTGGATATCCAGTAGGATTTGCTGTTCTTGGGCTGGGAAGACCCTCTGCTGAGACCACACACCTGATGCCTTGTGCACACTCAGAGTACCTTCCTCTCAAGGGCCAGGTTAGTGGCTCTGCCTGTGCAACTGAGAGCCCGGATTTCATGCTCTGTTAGCTGGGATTCACAGCACATGTGAAGTGAAACTTCCCTCTGCTCGTGCACAGCTAGAGCAGTGTTCTTTCGCAATGTTGGACACACGCTGACCTGCACAGTCTGAGCTGCTGGTCTGGCCTAAACCAACATTTGGTGTGGATGGGTTGTGCCTCTTTCAAGCAGCAGATTCATGGCCTGGTGGATCAGTGGCCTGAGAGAGAGCTGCCCCCTAAGTCCCTACACACCCAAGGTATTTTCCTGTTTAGGTGATTTTCCAAATGTAACGTTTTTATGTCTGTAATGCTCAGACACCTGGGACTTCCTTGGGGAATGGTACCTTGCTAATATTCTGGGGTTACTATGGGTTGTTCTGAACACCGTCTATTTTACTGTGTTGTTTTGCTGGCATAAAATTATGTCTTCATTGATGTCCACAAAAGCACATGTTTTGCCATACTGAGCACCTCAGTGGATGCGTTTTAGGTAGTTTGCTATCTACCGAAATTCACAGTCATGCTTTAGACACTTGGATAGTTCTTTATTTAATGCACAAGAACATTTAAGCATCAGATAGAGAATAAATTCCCAGCAAGTTAAGCAAGAAATCATGCTGTTCAAAAGCAAACAGTAAGAAGAGCATCTGGCTGTGAGATTCCTTCTGTCTCCTTAATTTAGGTACTTTCTCCTGGCCTATAGAGACACATTATATGTCTCTGAATTCTGGACTTAAGAGTTCCTGGTATCCTTTTCTCATCCAACTGTGTAGCTTTCTTCATCTGCAGCACAGACGTTAGAGCCTTCTCCCAGAACATGTGAGACCCAAATGAATTTTTTGCAAATTCTTCAACTCACTAGGATGCTATACCTGCGGAAAGGCCTCAAACACTTGCACAACATACTGAAACTTTAATTGGACCAGGACCTAGCAGCAAGGTAAGCATTGTTCTTGGAAAGCGGAGACCTAAAATCCAGACCTGGATCCAATTTCTCTTCTGTGCTTACAGTGAAAAAATATCTAGACAATTCCTCTTTGGAGGTTACACCCTAACCACTATGCTGCAAGGTAGCATTTGAGGGCTTGCTTTCCTCTTCTGATCCAGCAACAGTGAGCAAGTCATACAAACAGGAAACTGTTTCAAGCCAGAGAGTTTGAGCACATTCACAAAGTAGCCCAGAGGTTCAGTCATTCCCCTGGTATGTGAAAGAGGGGAAGCTTGATCTCTCAGCCTGCGGGTGAGAGCTATGCCCCCTAATTAAGCATTTCAAACAGGAAGAGGAAAGAGCATAATCTGCACACACATTGAAGATGGGACCGAAGAAGCACATCTAGACACAGACTCAAAGGGATGGAGGGAATGAGTTAAGTTTACAGCCTCTGCTGACTTAGTGTGGCCTGGCACACGGTCTCCTGTGTCGGGATGCAGAGTTGCCTCCCTCGCAGGATATACAGTATGACCAGTCCCAACAGAGATATCCCCATATCTGTACAAGCACAGAGATAAGTGCTACAGAATTAAACTGATTTAGGCATGCTCAGGAGCAGATTTCTAGGCACGAAAAATTTCACTAGAAAAAAGCTTTAAGTACCTATAGACTTACACTGGCAGCCAAGTCAGGATTTAGGAAGTCAGAGAGGCAGTTGTACAGTACTCAGATGCTCAAATTCTTCTGTGGATATATCTGATTTCTTCAGAGTCTTTGCATCTGTCTAAGTATGCCCATTAGCTGGCAGCTCATTTCTGCTGTTCTTCTCCAGACACCTCGGAAATCAGTATCTTCCCAGTTAGCAAGTGCCCAAGGCTGTAGAAGTCTCTTCTGCCTTGAAAAAAAGCTTCTCCTTGCAAGTAGCAGAACCAGCTGCTTTCAGACCAAACCCAAATTTTACAACAGGAGTTACCAACATGTACAGTAAACAGAGTCTGAAAAGCATAATTGCCACTAATGTCATTACAGTTTTCTCTGGACAGAAATAGCAAGTTTCCTCCACATCAGTACTAAAACAACCCTCTGCATAAATGCTTTTTTAGCAGAGTCAGGCAGATGTTGGAGTTAGGCTGCAAGGAAAGGGACTGGAAATAGAAAGGAGTTTTGAATATTGTATTTAAATAATCATCTCACACATAGTATAGGGAACTAATGAACTTGTGTTCTGTAAACAAAACAATAACTGTTGCATTTTTCCATATTTTAAAACAAATATTTTGACCTTTACATTTTAAATAATTTTTTCCTCGTAATTAAAAACAAAATTTTAAAAAGTAAATATATAGCCTTACCATAAAAACTTTCACAGCTTAAAAATACACTTTTTCATCCCCAGGAAAGTTCATTTCAGATCAACCTCAAATTATTTGCTGGGTGTTTCTCTGGAACACAGGCTGTGTCAGGCATTGTCCCTGACATTCTCTAGGCTATAAAAGTGCTGACCTGCAGGCCCTAGGGCTGGTCAACCTAGAGGAACTGAATTGGAGTTAACTGAAACACTGGCAAGCATCAGTGCAGACCCTTAGCAGAACAAAAGCCATTGTACTTGGTTTTAACTGAACCCAGAAGTATCCCAGAGCAAGTGATGTGAAGTGTCTAAGATTGTTTCTTTTTCCTCTGTTTTTTTTTAATTATTATTTTATTTACAGTTGTGCTGGTTTCCTGAAGTGAAATACAAACTGTCTGAAGTGCAGCAAGAATAAAGCCTGCAGCTTCAGCACCCTGGGAAAGATGCTGCCTTGCTCCACATGGTCTCAGGCAGTGAGGTTTTCCCCCTGGCAGCCTGGAGAGAGTATGGGGAACACAATGTTAGGGGGCTCACATCCTCCCCTCCAAACCCAGGCAAAGCAACGCTTCCCCATCAAGATTCAAGTTCTGTCCTTGGGTTTCTCCTTGGCTGTCTGGGTTGCTCTATATCCTGGTAGCAGCTGAGGGGATGGGGGTAGCTAGAAAAACATATCCTGCACAGATCTGGAGGGGAGCACAGTGCTCCTTGTCCCCTCTCTTTCATAGGTCTCTAAAAGAGGAGAAAGGGGCCAAGCCTGAACAATAGGAGTCTTGTACCCACTTGTCCTGGCTGTTTCCCTTAGGGCAGGTTTGAAACAGGACATAGGCTGTCTGATCCCTGTGCCAGCACTGGAGCCCAGGGAGCAGTGACCACAGTCAGGCTGGCACCTTTTACAATGTCCTGCAGCAGTGAGAAAGGAGCTCAGCTCCCTCTCCCTGCCACAGACAAACAGGGTGGGAGAGCTGCTGGCCTCTTGCTGCTTACAGCTCCAAGCTGGGGGGACACAGTCAAGGTCTCCCAGCCTCACTCCACCCCGCCCAGCCACTCTCCTTCCTATGGTACTTAGCACATTCTGCATCCTCCCTGGCTGGAGCCCCATCACCCTCCCCAGTTCCCGAGACCCAGAACAAGCACTAAAAGGCATCTCCTAGAGACATCCCACCTCTGCCTCCTCCTACTCCTGTTCTCCAGCTCGGGGGGGGGGCATTTTCATCAAGCATCCAAGGGCAGACACAACCGCAAAAGAGCATCTCTCACACAGAAGTCCTCCTTTACCCATTCCTCCTCCCCTTGTCCCTGGCAGGTATTCAATATCCCAGGGCCACACCTTGTACAGAGCCCACAGTCCCACCCCCCAGAGCCCCCTGCCCGTCTCAGCAGCGATGCTCCATGGAGCTGGCAGGCAGCAGGTCACAGCGGCTGCTGTACATCACCACCCCGGGCGGGTAATAAGCCACCTCCGGCTGGATGGCGGCAGCAGGGGAAGCAGCAGTGACAGGGTGGATAGGTACCAAGGCATGCAGAGCCTGCTCCTCCTTCTCAGGCTTGGTGGTGTCAGTGAAAGGGCGCATGGTGGTGAGGGAAGGCGAGGTGATCCTCCAGAGGAGGCTTTTCAGTGCCTTGCGAAACTCCCTGCGCATGAGGCAGTAGAGGATGGGATTGAGGCAGCTGTTTGAGTGTGCCAGGCACACACTGATGGGAAAGAGGTACACTTGGGAGAGGAAGTACTCATTGCTGAAGTGCACCACGTTGAGTTTGATGAGTATCCCCCATGTTGTAAGTGCTTGATTAGGCAGCCAGCACAAGAAAAAAGACAACACCACGATGGACACTGACCGAGTCACTTTGGAGCGGCGCCTGGTGCTGGGACCGCTGCAAGTGCTGCCAACGTTCTTGTCAGTGATGAAGCGCACCAGGAGCAAGTAGCAGAGACTAATGATGACCAGCGGCACCACAAAGCCCAGCAACACCTTCTGGATGTGGTACAGACCCAGCCAGAATTGGCCATTGCTGCCTCGGCCTTCTGGGAACTTGACAAGGCAGAGAACATCATCAAAGACAGTGGCAGTGGTGGAAAAAATGGCATGGGGCAGGGAAGCCAGGACAGCTGACAACCAGATGAGTGCACAAAGCCACTTGGCAGAGCAACAGCCACTCAGGGGGTCTCCTCGACGCTGATTCTTCAAGGCTGAAGCCACAGAGCGGTATCGAGCCACACTCATGGCAGTGAGAAAGAATACACTGGCATACATATTCATGGCTGTCACATATGAGACAATCTTACACATTGCCTTGCCAAAGAGCCAGTTGAAGTCCAGCGCGTTCTCCACTGCCCAGAATGGCAAGGTCAGCACAAACTGGAAGTCAGTCACTGCCAGGCTGGTCACAAAGAGGTTGATGGAGGATTTTCTCCAGCCTTGTTTGCTTTTCATCAGGTAGAGTACCAGTAGGTTGCCCACCAGCCCCAGGGCGCACACTACGGAGTACACCAGCGAGATGACAATCCTCACCACGTCAGAGCTGTCCCCCTGCATCCCGTCAGCTCGCTCCAGGTTGATGTTCTTTAACAACTGCAGGAAGGACATGTTGCTCCTGTTGTCCATCTGAACGCCCTCCAGGAAACCCAGCGGCGCGTCCCAGGACTCCTGGTCCGCTCCTTCTTTCATGCCAGCGGCCGGCGAGCAGGCACCGCGTTCGCAGGGCTCACCCATCCCATGCTAGGGTGAAGGACGGGTCCGCAGGAGCTTTTTTTCCCAGAAGCAGGCCGGCAGCGGGGACAAGGCACGGGTTGTTCCCGGCTGGATGGACGGCACAGCTGTTTCTGGCTGGGTAGGTAGGTGGTTGGCTGGCTGGCTGGCTGGCTGGCTGGCTGGCTGGCTGGCTGGCTGGCTGGCTGGCTGGCTGGCTGGCTGGCTGGCTGGCACGGCTGTTCCCGGCTGGAAGGACGGCACTGCTGGCGCCGCTCCCGCGCCGCGCTTATATCCGCGCTGGCACGGCCGGGCATGCGCGGTGGGCGTGGAGCTCTCCCGGGTGCTGAGCGCGGCTCCCGCGCTCCCGGACTCCCCTATCCCTGTGGCTGCTCCCCACGGATCGCCCCCGTCCCGTCCCGCCTACCTGAGCGGAAAGGCGCCTGTGAACCAGCCGGGCGGCGCGTTCCCGCGGGCTGAGCTCGGCAAGCGCTCGGCCAGAGGCGATTCCCCCTCCCCTCGATGTGATACCCCCGATGTGCGCCCCGCGGGCCACCTCCCACAGAAAACCCTCGCCTCCCGTCCCCCGCGCGGGATCAAGTGCTGGGGGCGAGTCGCAGCGCCGCCGAGCCGCAGGGTGAGCACGAAACAAGCTGAGCTCTCACGCCTGAGAAACCTCGGCACTAAGACGGGACGCGGTTCGCCGTCCCCAAAATGACCACGTTCCGGACAGCGGCTGACAAAAGCTTCTCCTGCTTTTGGGACGTCGGGATACGGTGGCTCTCCCTAGTTTTAAAACGAACCGCACGTAGAACGAAGCCGTAAAGTCCGGTTGGTGGTGGCACGCAGTGCTTGGGCAAAAGGAAGAGCGGGAGCAGCCGGTTCCCCGGGAGGGAGGTGGAGAGGCGGCCGCGGGATCCTTCCCGCAGGGGGCTCCGTCGCGCCGGGAAGCGGAGGCAGCCTGCCCCGGCCCCATCCCTGCCGTGCTTGGGGCCCGAAACTCACTTCCCCACCAAGTCTGCAGCAGAAAGATAAAGCAACCGATGAGAATAAGGAACGGAGGTTTTCCTTCTCCCCTCTTGCTTTTAAATAAACCAAGATAACTGCGCAATTTGAAAACCAAATAGATTCTAAATATATCTAAATAAAGCACTGTGAATCAGCCATCAGGGGAAGATTAACGGAACATTTAACAAGTAAATTATTTCTCCATTGATTTATCTCACTGAACTTCCTGCACACATTGTTGTATGCGCCATTTGTTGCCAGCAGTCCACTCATCACTTTGGTTTATATCTACAGAAACCCTGTAAAAGTATCAGCCAGATCATGGTATGGGAGTTTTAAAGGGGAACAAGAGTAATTAGGAAGTTTTATACATCATTCATATTGCATATAACGAATATAATTCCTAAATTAGCAATGCAATGCCCTGGAAAGACTTAGACTCCAGATTACTTGCTATACTAAATATATTGGTACTGGAATGACATATTAAATTAAAAAAAAAAAACAACAAAAACCCACCAAAAAACCCCCCAAAAAACCCAAACAAACAAACAAACAAAACAACCAACAGAGTCTTCAGAAGGTTGACTGCAGAAGCCCTTGAAAAATGGACTCCTGACATTTCTTCCTGTTGTGGTTTAACCCCAGCCAGCAACCAAGCACCACATAGATACTCACTCACTTCCCCACCAGAGGCATGGGGAAGAGAACTGGACGGATAAAAGCTAGAAAACTCGTGGGTTGAGACAAAGACAGTTTAATAGGGAAAACAGAGCAAAACAAGGAATTAATTCACAGCTTCCCATGGGCAGGCAGGTTTTCAGCCATTTCCAGGAGAGCAGAGCTCCATCATGTGTGACAGTTACTTGGGAAGACAAACTCCATCACTCCAAAGATCACCCTCTTCCTCCTTCTTCCTGCCACTTTATTTACTGAGCATGATGTCATGTGGTCTGGAACATCCCTTTGGTCAGTTTGAGTCACCTGTCCCAGCTGTGTCTTCTCCCAGCTTCCCATGCACCTCCAACCTCCTTACCAGCGTGGCACTGTGAAAAGCAGAAAAGGCCTTGGCTCTGTGTAAACATTGCTCTGTCATCACAAAAACATCTCTATATTATCAACCCTGTGTTAAGCACAAACCAGATATACATTCTAGCCACTGTGAAGAAAAGTGACTCTACCTCAACCAAATCCAACACACTTTCTCATGGATTTTTTCCTAGGTTCCCATACCTCTTAATCACTGACTAGGGTTGCATTGAGGTGCCATTTTCAATAGTAGGGTGTTAAGTTGCATCTCTTAGCCTGCTGAATGGCAACAGTTTCTCAAATTCTCTCATGCAGAGGAAACCATCCTTGCAGTGAAACTTGACAATCCCATCAGTTTCACCAGTGCTGCAGTCAACTGTAAAACCGTGCACGCAGAAGAGAAAGCCAAGGATCCTTCAATGGCAGTGGAACAACCATATAAACAAGTAAAGTGAAAACACTGAGTTTCAATCAGAGCTGCAACACTGCAGAGGCTCTGTAAACAGTGCTGGTGCCCGTCAGCCCCCAGCAGTGATAGCTGCCTTGGCACTAGTGTCAGCACTTATCCAAAACCAGGGTTGGTAATATATTTGCAACAAGCAAGTTCTTATTCAATTTTACCTCTCTACTTGGTCCTGCTACTATCAGCTCACAAGGAAAAAAATAATCTGGAATCGAGTCATACAGAGGCTATGATTTGTTCACTTGGTAAATCATTAGTGAGACTGACAGTGCAGAAGTGGATTTTTTCCACATTGAATTCTGTCCCCGTTCTCATCACATTGCTAGCTCCACACCCAGTTTTAAATATTTTACTGGAAAAATAGCAGCAAGCATGTCTTACATAGAATAATTTCTTCTACCATTTCTTCTGCTTGGCACATCTTGTTGATACATAGCAGGGGCTGAACAGTAATAGTGATTCAGAAAGGTGAGGAGGTGGGAAACAATGTCCAAAGATATATTGCTTTTTCTCTTCATCACCCAGGGAAAGCCACAAAGTGTGAACTGAGGTATCTCACAGGAACACACTGGTAGTGAACTTTGAACTCAGGGCTGCAAGTGTGAAATATTTACCCAAGGATTTTGCTCATATTTTGAACACCAGCAAAATTCCTTTTTAGCCTTGGGTGGACTGTACTTTTCTTTTGTCATTCTTCATCTTAGAGAAGTTTTAGAGGCAGATAAGGAAACTTGCTACACCTAGATAAATAATAAAAGAAATATTTGCTGAATAATTTAACACACTGTCAGAACACTTCCATGGCTGGAAAAATGTTTAAAAAGCCATCCGCTACTTTCAAAAAGTATTGCTAAATTCAGCAAATATAATACCCAAGGGTCATTGTTCTGGAAAATATTGTCTTCTGTTTGTTCCCTATTCATTTCACCAATGCTGCCAAAGGCTTGTTGCTAATACGTAACTTTTCAGAGCCTTCTTTTTATCAAAGGGCCAGTGGAACTGGTGTTACTGACTCAAACTTTATGAAAACTGAAATAAATTTGATAGGCATAGGCTTTTGTGATGTATTCTGGTGATAATCATGAAAAAATGGCTGATTTGTTTATTTTGGAGATCTCAAACAGATCCTGTAGGGTTTTGTAAGAGGCTTTTTGGTGTCTATGTAGTATTATGCTAAAATAATCCACAGGACTGAGGTTGCTAGATTGCCTGCAGACAGGATCCATCAGTATAGCAAACTTAAGAAGCTTTCACCAGTTCAGACCACCAACAGAAGCTGCCCATTGATTCTGACTATACTGTATCACAGATAAAAGTGTCCCTGCAGGTGTTTCTCAAACAGCATTTAAAAATGTTTCAGATAAACATGCAAAAAAACTTTCAACATTTGCTGAAAATTATAATTTTCCTACAATTCACCCTAAAGAATTCCTGTAATTTTTCACTCCTTTTGCAGACCTCGTACACAAACAAAAGATTTACTACAATTACAACAGTGACTGAACCAACTGTACGCTCTTCTGAAATGTTTTGGCAAGGGAGATGGGGTTCTGTTTTCAAAATGAAAGTAATTTTTGTAGCTTAAAACAAATTATTGAAATGTTGAATATATCACTTAACACAGAAACATGGGACTATTTCTTGGGGTCTTTTTATAGCAATAAAAGATGTTTAATTTTTTTTTCTATTTGAATGCTGAAGCAAAATGTAGTAATAGTAAAGCTCTTGAACAGATTTCATTAAAAAGAGTTAGTAATATATGTTACTTTAATGAGTTTTACATTATTCTCAAATGTTGCATTCTTGCAATTGTATTCCGTTTATTAATAATTCTTTTTGTGGTATTTTCTTCTCATTAAAACAAAATTATGGAGGAGGAGAAGGAAACAGGAAAAGGAAATTTCATATTTGTTTATTTTCTCAGTTCCAATTTCTGGGAAGCATATGGTCTCCCTTTGGCTTTTTATGAGCTCAGGGCTACAATCTCATGCTTTTGACTAAATTCAGACAATAACTGTTACAGTTTGAACTGTGTTTTACAACTCTACTTTCTCCATTCTGAGAGTGCAGGTTTGGTGTGACTTAGTATATATCCACCATGGGAAGATTTTCATGGCAGTTCTTTTCTTAAAAATGTAGTAGGAAATGTATAGAGGTTTTCATTACAAAATCTCAGTTAGATAACAAAATGATCATACAGTGCTTCATGGTATGCTTCATGGACCATAGACATATCCTCAAGAAAGTATTATTTGGACACAGAAGTAAATTTTAATTCAAGAAATCTCCAAATCACTTTAATCATGTTCATCTCCTCCCATCATTGGCTTTCTAGACAGACCACTGAGAATATATTTTTCTAGGACCAATTTTCATACAAAGCTAATTTCAATGTGTCCTGTTGCTCCAGAAATATGCTTTTAAACATTAATATGAGTAGTATGACAAACGAATGAATTTTAAATTCACATAGACTAAGCACAAAATTATAATTCTGTGAATTAGCTTATCGATTAAAAATAACAATCAGTGTTTGAAGACTGATCAGGAATTTGAGTGTGAGCATCCCAAAACCTTTCATGTCATAGAATCACTGACTACTTTGGAGTTTGCTTCATTCTGTTACTTGGATCTGCCGATCCAAACATACGAGTGGAATGTCAGTAAATATTTTTTTTTGCATGAGTAACTTACGAAATTCCAAAAATCTTTATAATGAATTGGAAGTTGAGGGATC